AACCAGAGACCCTATATTGGAGGCCCATGGGACGGATATAAGGGCTACCTACAGAAGTGTTCTGCGTGGCCCACATGGGATTATTTCAAAATATTGCCTTAGCTCCTGGCACTTAAAACTCAGTAGATTCTACATAAAATCGTGAACTTACAGCCCATCTTGAAAAAACAAAAACAAAAAGAAAATCAGATGTGGCCGGACTGGGCCAGAGGTCCCACTGGCAACCGATGTTGGGTCTGAGCTCCAGTGTTCCCCCAACACACACACTTCTTACCGAGGCACAGGCAGTAAGGCCTGTTTGCTGAGGCCGTGACTTGCCTGGCTACTGAAGGCATTTCGGTGTGCGACCCCTGCTGGAAAGCTCCCAGAAAGCAGGCAGCATGGGGGGATAAAAAAAAAAAAGTAAAGATGCCAACTGGGATCTATTTCCCTTATGTTATAGCATTTCCTCGGAAGAATAATATATTCATTTTTCTAGAAGTCTGGTGGTACCACATAACTATTGAAAAACTATGGCCCAGTAAATATTATTCTAATGAACTGAAAAAGCTATGAGCTTAATTCCCTGTGGGTAGAGGAAGCTGAGAAGGCGTCATGACAAAGGCAGGCCTGCAGATCGGGAGAGGCTGCACTTCAGCTCATTACAATTCTGGCTAACTCAAAGAGAAAAAGGAATGGACTTGAAGACTAAGAGTTACCTCTAGGAATTGAGGAGAAGCTGAGAAGCCAGGCTTGTTAAAACGGAAGGAATGGAGGGAACCTTAGTGTCAGGGAATATGGCAGGATCATGCCATGGGAACAGAACCCTGGGGAAATCCTGGCATATTCACACTGTGGCTGACGCCACCTGATTCATGACTCAGGGTGGTAAATGAACACTTAGCTATCCTTGCATCCTTTAGCTAGTCCCGCAAGATGCCAGGTCCCAGGTGGGTTCATCCTACTGAACTTCTGTGCAGGGCCCAGATGAACAAGCAGAGAGAGAGAGCACCTTACCTCCCACTGAGAGGTCCCTCTGTGAGCACCTTTCCAAAATGCAAACGTCCACTGTGGATGAGGCGGGTTTTAATGGTGAAAGGAGGGATAGGACAATGCAAATAGTACAGCGGAGCAGAATGAGAACAGACAGACCAGAACTCCAATCTGGAATCCTCTGTACCTTCAGAAAATCAGTTAACTTTTCTTCTGATCTGTAGATTCCAGATCTTTAAAATAGAAATCGTGCCATCTGCCTGTGCACAACACAGGGTTGCTGTGAAGATGCAGTTCAATCATTCATTCACTTATTTCAAAAATACTTATGGAGACTTTACTAAGTGACCAGGCACTTAGCTAGGTCCAAGGGCAAATCTGGAATGCTGAAAATGCAATAGAGAGCCAGTCCTTCATACTGGTGACAGATTTAGACAAGGGAGACCTAGCTTATCTCCTGAAACTGAGCATATATCACTTTTCCCTAACCGATACACTCATTTGCAACTTTCTTCCTTTTCTGATTAATCAGTATCAGGGCCCTTCCTCCAAACAGACAGATAGATAGAAAGATAGAAAGAATTGAGGGGGCTCCTGGATGGCTCAGTGGGTTAAAGCCGCTGCCTTCGGCTCAGGTCATGATCTCAGGGTCCTGGGATGGAGCCCCACATCTGGGTCTCTGCTCAGTGGGGAGCCTGCTTCCCTTCCTCTTTCTCTGCCTGCCTCTCTGCCTACTTGTGATCTCTCTCTGTCAAATAAATAAATAACATCTTAAAAAAAAAAAAAGAAAGAAAGAATTGAGGACATGTAAATCCATGAAGTTAAAGGAAAAAAAAAAAAAAAAAAAACTCTAAAAAATTAACTCTGACCCCGAAAACAAGAAATTAATCGTTCTGAGAAGCATTGAGGCCTGGTACTGATGGATTTCAGGTGATCACAAGGAAATACTGACCTATTATATGAAATCCTCTCCCCCATTTAATGTTTAGCATATGTAATTCACACAGACATACACAAACTGTAATTAAAATAGGCCAAATGAACTTTGCAGGAAAAGCATGTTCAGTAGCCCTTAACATTTTCCACCAGGGTTTTAGAATTGCCAAAATGCTCTTCACATACATTTTCTCACTTTCTCATAATAACCTTTCAGTCTCTATTTTTCAGAGGCAGAATCTGAGAGATTCTTTCCCTCAGTGAGGGAAGGAGTCTTTGCTTCGGGTCTGGGGCAAGAAGCTGGCTCCAAAAGCAGCTAGCAGACTGCCCAGCCTCTCCACTTAGAAAGGGCAGCTTTACACAAAGCACTAGGTCATCATTAGAGCTGAAGGACGACACACCAAAGTGATGGGGAACAACCCCTTTATTTTCCAATGCCCCCTGAAAAGTTACTGCATTTCCTACATATCTGCTAGAACATTACTACTCTCCAGCTGTGCCTTCATCCCCTCTAAGACTGCAAGGACTCCGGCTTAGAGACAAGCCCTGCAACCTGCTGTCTGAGCCTTGACCCTGAGTACAGGTTCATGGCCATAAGGGCATCAATCCATTTTAGAGTTGCTCTCCCCAAACTCTAGCCTCAACAGAGAGAACGGGACTCAGTATTCACAGCAGTGAGTGCTACCCTGGGTAGATGCCCCGGCAGAGGGGAAAGGCAGTCTATATTTCCAACCCCTTCCAAGCACCATCAAATGGTGATTCAAAGTAAGAAAAGCTCCCACATGGCTTTCCCTTCAAAGAGCTCTTTCAGGGCTTTTCCAGGAAGGGGGTTTCCTCTTTTGACAATAAAAGCACAAGCTTCAGCTATATTTTGGAGTCCAAGTAAAGGGTTTCTGAATATCTACACTGTGCAAAGCATGGCTTCAAGCTGAAGGACTACTGGGTTCATAGTAGGGGTACCAATTACAGAGCTAAGAGCCCTGGGCTTTTTCTGATTCCATTTGCAAGTTCAAGGTACCTCTTTATCACCAGTTTCTTAAGCAAAGCAAAAACAAAACCCCAAAAACTCCCATCTTAAACATCTTAAAGCTACAGTGCATCCTACACCTGGCAGCTTCACCAATCCTCACTCAATGCTCCTGTCCTAATTAACTGCTAGGACTTAGGAGTGCTTAGTCACTAAGTTGTTGAGCCACCGGGCAGAGCTCTGGCTGGCCAAGAGTTAGAGGGACCTGCAGAAGCCCCTGAAGACTCCTTAAGAAGCTGATTTCTTTTTCTTTCTAGCGCCGGAGAAAAACTTATTTAACACAAGGGTCCATTTGAACGTGTTAGTTCTGCAATCCTATGGGAGTAGAAGAATGTAAGCCCTGGAAATACAAAGAGTAAAGAGGGAATTTGGCCCTGAGGCGTCCATCTCCTGGAATTTCACGAGGTCAGGCTTATTCCAATTGCACCCAATTTTTACTGAAAACGCTAAAAGTAAGAATAATTCAAAATGCCAAAAGGATGGGCTTTAGAAATACAGGCCGGCAGAAGTTCGGTTATGTCCCTCCTCCCATTTTTAAGACGGAATTCCAGTAATTAACCCTTGAGTGGAAGTTGGTAATTCCATTTCAATACAATAAAGTGAGATTTGGCTGCAAAGTGCAATCTCAAGAGTTAGGACCCAAAGGATCATGCGTGCGCTCGGGCTGCAGCCACAAAAGCCTGCCAAGGAAGGCGCCCGGACGCTAGGGGCTCCTCCCGGGACCGGCTCCCCGGGCGAGCGGCGCAGCCGAGCCTGTGGTGCCGGGTTCCGAGAGCTCTGATTGCGGGAGGAGGAGCGCGTACACTCCATCCCCAATCCCTTGGCCATTCTTTGCGGCCACTCCCTCTTAGCAGGGTAACGCTTCTGGGAGCGCAGTGCGAAGAGAGCGGGTTTGGAGTCTCCTCCCCAGAATCCCCCCAAAAGCATTTTCCTGCAAGTAGTGGATAAAAATAGCCAGCAGATAATGCTGGGGGAGGAGCGAGACTCGCGCAAGGCAAGGCAAGGCAAGGCAACGTCTGGTCCTGCAAAGTGAAGGGCGGAGGAGGGATGAAACCCCACTCCCAAGAGAGGGGCCTGGGTGTGCGAGAAAACGGGGACGCCCGCCGAGGAAGTGAAAAGGAAGACGCACAGCGCCGGCACACAACCTCGGAGCGAAGCACACCCCACACCCGCGTCCTGGATCCCTGCTTCTGCTCTCGCCGGCTTCCCCATCCTATTCCAGGCTCTGGAAGCCGGCTTTCCGGCTCCCGGGACAGGCTGGGGCCAGAAGGGGGAGTAGCGCGCAGTCCGGGGTCTGGCTCCAAGAGCGCACCTGGAGACGTCAGGCTCGCCGAGTCTGCCCCTGGATCGAAGAGAGGGTCTACTCGCTCCCTCCGCGGGTGGGCGCCCCGCCTCCCTGCACCCCCATTTGCCGCCACCAGCCAAGGTGCTCGAAATAGAAACAGAGGCAGGAAAAAAAAATAGGTAAAAAGTAAAATGAAATAGCAGGACGGTATAGAATCGGCATTCGTAAAAAAGGCTATCTATAATATCTCTCCTACCAAGCACCCCCGCCCCCCCCGGGAGATGCCCCATGTCTCCTCCATTCCGACCAAATGCAAGGGCAAACAGACCTAGGTTTCCCCACCCGGAATGCTCACTCGACCCACTGACTTCTGCTGACTGTATCCCTGCCCCAGCTCCCAGACAGAGTGGTACCCTGGCTTTGCTGCGCGCTGCGCTTGGGCTGCCCCGCACCGTCCTAGGGAGATACGGTGGGCAGGAGCGAGCCTCTTGACTCTGCTGGGGGAGGATCCAATCCACAAAGTCAGAAACCCGAATACCTGCCTATTAAAACAAAACAACGACAACCTGAGAGGGCAAGACAGGAGGTGAGAAGGATGGAAAACCCCGTGTCTCTCCTTCCTTGTTTCCCCCACATCCACTCCACTTGCTCCAGCCTCGACTCACCTTGGGCTTTGCGCTCGCCCTAAATCTGCGGCGCCAGCTGAGGGCACCCCGACGGTCCCCGGTCTTGCTACTCCGTTTTACTGGGCGGCCCCCACCCCTAGCGCGCGGCACTCACCTGAGCAGCGCCGCGGTCGAGCAGGTCCGGCGCCCAAAGTCGGCTCTCGGGCTGAGCCATGGGCAGCTCCGCGGAGAACCGGCGGCCGGCCGAGCGAGCTTCGGGGCGCCTCGGGGCAGGCGGGAGAGGCAGGGTATGCGGGCACCCACGGAGACTAGGCAGTGGCGGCGGTTGGTGACTGCCCTCGCGCCGGGGACTTTGCAGGCGGGAGGCTCCGCGAACAGCCCCGCGGAGGGGAGGAGCAGGAGGAGGAGCAGGAGCAGGAGGAGGGGACGGAGGAGGCCGGGTCCTGAGGGAGAGAGCGCAGGGCAGAGGAGGATCGCGAGCGCCCACTGCTGCCCGGCCCGCTCTGGTGCTGCACTGAGTCCGGATGGCTCCGTGTCTCGGACGAGTCCATTCGGCCCCACGGCTCCGCGGCTCCTTGTTTCAGTCCAGGAGGAGGGGACCAGACGGCCAGAAGGGTGGGGCCGGTTGTGGGTTGCAGGATTCTGCGTTCGCGGCGAACCTGGGAAGTCCTGTCTACTTCCTACCCCCTGCTGGGGAAGGGTAGGCGCGAACTCCAGCCCACCTCCCTCCGCACTCTCAGCCCCCGGGTTCCCGGAGCGGTGCTCCTGCCAGGTGGTCCGCACAATTTCCTTCTCCGCCGGTAACCAACCTTTGGTGCGGGTGCTCCCTGCGCCGCCCTGGAAGCCAAAGGCGCCATCCCCTGGAACTTACACCGCCTCCGGACCGGGACGCCAGCGGCCAGGCAGCTGGAGCCCGAATCCGCACAGGGAACAGGCCCCGGAACACCCCGGGTCGCCATTAAACACGCCCTTCTACTTCGGTTTCGCGCCCGGGAGTGTATGCAGGTTTACCGGAAGAGCCTGGAGATTTCACCTCTTTTACTAGCACCCCAGGGTGGTGGTAAACGCCAGCCCTGAAATGAAGCAGGGTTTTTCTGTCCCCTCCCCCGATCCTGTAGATCCTGTAGCTGGAGGCTTTGGGGGAGAACTCGACCAGCGTCCAAATAGCTCAACTTCAGATTTAAGATTTCCAGCCACCTTACAGAGGCTGCACTGCCTGCTTACCAGCTTTCCTGAGCCAAAGGAAGCTGCCCTCAAAGGCAGGTCAGCAAACACGTTAGGAAGAAGGAAGGAGAGAGGAAAGAAACATGCAAAGAGAAAAGAAAACTGCCAAATGAACATCAAAGTAATTTAACTGAGGTTTCACTGGATCTTCCACATCTTAAATATTGGAAGATAAGTATTTGGAAGAATTTGACTTTGTCATTCAATCTGTCATTATTATTATTATTTTTTAAATTCTGTCATTAATTTGGCTTGGTTTAAAAATACTTTCCCATTTATGGAATGGTTGCCATAGGAAGTTGATCCCTTTACTCATGAGTTGTTACCTACTGCCCTTTAAGAAAGCAAAGCAAAGACCAGCATCTCTGGCTATCTGATGAAGTCATTAGCATCTGGGAGGCCAAGAACAAGACTTATTTTGGAAAATAAGCTTTTAGAGTTTTTTGTGAACCTGGCTACTTCTCTGAGCCAGACTAATGTTAATATGTGAGTGTATATATATATATATATATATATATATATGTATATATATATATATATACAGTCACTTTAAAGCCCCACTTTGAAAAGCCTCAGCATTTAAATTTATGTTAGCTTTAAAAGGTAAAATTTAAAAAGGTAAAATTTAAAAGGAGTATTTCCCCCACCCCCCATCCTATGAAGCTGTATAAAATCATGTAGGTTTGCGCAGGTCGAATGGTAGTCTGAGATAAACCTTTGCCAATTACTGGTATCCTTAAGCTTCTACCAGCAGCTAAGCCCAGTGCAGATCATGGGTTCTTCAAAATAGGGAGCAGCTTTGATGTTCTAAGTTGGTATGATTACTTTTCCTTGAGAGTTCAAAGTGTTTCTGTTACATGGTCTGAGTCTCACTACTCATGTGCCAGATGCAAAGGGAGGCTGGCAGTGATTCCATTAGCACACTGGGAGCCAAGAGAAGGTTAACAGATCTGCTTGGTTCCCTACTACAAGTCCTGAAAAAGAAGGAGAACCTTAGGGCCCAGCCCTGAGTCTCTGCTAGCAACTTTACTTGCAAGAAGCAACCCCAAGTAGATCTGGCAAGTGATTAAGAATTTGAGGACTGGATTTTAACGTCTCTCATTTTTTAAGTGTCTGCCAATGTTCATTGATCAATGATCAGCATTCTTTTGTTCAGACAAGTAAGAAAGTATTATTTGGCTCTTTTGTTCTTAGTTAGCTTTATGTCTCTGGCAAGGAATTTGTCATTTCTCTTAAACAGCCTTCTCTGACCTCTTCTGGGGATAAGTTAGGTTTACTAACCTGGCATTTACATACTGCTGGAACTCAGCTCTGGTGTAACAGCACAGATATTGTATTGAAAATATCAGCTTAGAGATTTGGGTTCCCCACTAGATCATGGGGACCATGATGGGAACCAAAGAGAACTCTGTGTTGTCTCCCCAGAATCTTGCACAGTATCTAAAACAGTGTATCCCCTCAAGGACTGCTGGATTGGGTCAGATGTGTTTCCCTATCAGGGCTGTCAGTGTCAGAATGGAGTCTCACAGGAGACACAGTGGTGGTTGCTCTTGAAGACTGGCTGCCATTGATACATGTCTGTCCTAAAACCCTCTTACTCAGTGTCATCAACTAGAAAATGAGATGGTTTTAATAGATGATCTGTTACCTGTTATCATAAGATACCAGAGTCTTTGCTGAGCACCTAGTATGTGTTTAACTCTATGCCAGGTACTGGGCAAGAAGTGGACAGTGGAGACACCATCCGTGCCCTAGGGAAGCAGAAAGTCTTATCTCAAGATGAAACCAGACTGATCCCCACAACCCAACTGTACCAATACTCACTGGCATCAGTTAAGTGGCAAACTGTGTTTTGCAGAAGACAAAGCCTGAGAGAATAAAATGGAAACAAAACCAAATGAGCTATGCGTTCAACCAACAATCAGTACTAATACCGGCTGGGATTCGTTTAAGGCTTTGGGGCCTGGCACGTGGGCAAGATGGATTACAGTATGTGTACGTTTTGTCCTTGTACCAGACCTCTTAGAAATTATAATTGCCTCATTTTTTAAAATATTTTATTTATTTATTTGAGAGAGGAAGCACAGGTAAGGGGAGAGAGAGAAGGAGAAGCAGATTCCTCACTTGACAGGGAGCCCGACATGGGGCTCAATCCCAAGACCCCAGAATCATGACCTGAGCTAAAGTCAGACACCTAACTGACTAAGCCACACAGGCGTCCCTATGATTTCCTCATCTTACAAAAACAAAGGCACAGTTTAAAGTCATGATGTGAGTGAGTGGGAGTAATTAGGGCACCAGAAGTGGAGATGAGTTATCAAGGCAGCTACCCTTCCAGTAAAAACTAGACTCCTGGTCTATTGCTCTCTGTAATTAAATGGTTTGCTTATGTTTGCTTTTGTTATTTCTGTTTGCTTTCTTTCCCCAAATATGTCATGGACTAGGGAGTTTAGAAGAAGGGGAGAGAGAAAAAGAGAGAGCTTGCTTCTCCTAAAGATGTAGGATCCACGGTCCTTTTACCTGCCTGGGCTCAGTGTGACTTTATCTGCAACTCCCGCTTGTGGGTCTACCTATCCTGTATCGTCTTTCCTCCCATAATGACAGTTTGAATCTTTCAGGTTAATAGCATGAATATTAAGGAGTCCAATGGGATTCTTTAGAAGCAGAGGAAATTGGGATCAGGTTAAAAATCCAATTTTAATAAACTTTCCAAGTCCTGATTTAGATGGTGCACTAATGGCTCTCACTGCTGAATCACCTGAAAAGTCGGATGCATTTTTAAAAGGTCCTTGTTGTAGGGGAAGCTTGATGTGTATTGCCTAATTGTACATTGTGCATCCCTGTCTTTATAGAAAAGACCGTGTGTAAAACTGAGAAGAGATATGAGAAGAGTTATGCAATGCCACCATCCAGAGAGCTGGCTGGGCAGGAGTGGGGGGCGGGCATTGGGTTTCAACGATGATTTTCGTTCATTTGACCAAAACAAAGAGAGCATGATTACACTGTGTGAAAATGGTATCCTCAAATAACTCCTGCTAATTTGATTGTGCTCAGGTCTAGAATTTTTTCCATTTCTTTTGATTTGCTAATTAGCTAGAGCAGCCTGCTTGGGAGAGAGAGAATGAGGGTCATATCCAGAAAACATGTAGGATCAAGGTTCCTTCTGACTCAGCTCACCCATCGCATGCCTCCGCCACCAGCCTAACTTCCAACTTCACTATCATTCTTAAAAACAATCCACCCAGGACACCTGGATGGCTCAGTTGGTTAGGCGGCTGCCTTTAGCTCAGGTCATGCTTTTGGGGTCCTGGATCAAGCCCCACATCGGGCTCCCTGCTTAGCAGAGAGCCTGCTTCTCTCTCTCCCTCTGCATGCCGCTCTGCTTACTTGTGCTCTATTTCTCTGTCAAATAAATAAATAAAATCTTAAAAACAAAACAAAACACAAACAAAACAAAAAAACAATCCACCCGTCCAGATTGAGAGATTATTTGATGCCTTTTTTTGAAAACAGGATGTTTATCCCCTTCGTGACCTCAGATTTGTTCTCTGCCTGTGTGGTTGCAGGGTTGAGTTATAATTTTGACCTTTGTGGGACCTAGCCTTCAAAATTAACTAATAAATTAAAAATTAAGTTCCATGACCACACTTGTGTAAAGATGAATATATTATTCTTATCTATTTCCATATTTGTTGAGACCTGGAAGCTCTAAAAGAAATAAAAACATTTTTGGAGACTCTGAAAGTACCCTGGTCTCCTGTGACTTCTAAGGAAGAAATCATCGGCTCTGTGCAGATGGTGACATTGTACTAATGTATGAATGAATGCTTAATTGATTCAGGTAAAGTACGCATGATAAACACAATTTCCCACACATTCCTTACAGTCCATTTATTGTGTTCGATAAACAACCCTAGACAACATATTGCTTTTATTTCTGGTCCCGTGTCAAATTTTGCCCTAAATCACACACATCAGTGCAAAAATTACAATATTGCAGGCCTGAAGTGGCCCCCTTGTTCAAATTATTAAGCCCTGCTGAGTGCTTGGATGCCTCCAGGGAGGTGGGAAATTGTGGCACTCCTTTTGATTTTAGGTTTGCTGGGACCAAAACTGACCGATGATTTGATGAGCAGGTCTTTCTGAGTTTCTCTT